AAGAACTACAGAATAGTTGTAAACTCAATGTCGGTGGGTGTGTCTGCGCTGTTATTCCTCAGAAATACTGCACTGAGTATACGCCCTCATTACTGGACTTCATTTTGATACTTGTCTGTCTTTCATAGTGCCCTCTACTTTTAAAGGGTTTATATGTTGAAAACTGCTGTGGCCTTTTATGACCTGTATATAATGTAGAATAAAATAATAAAATACTTGATACCTTTTCTAAGTGATAAATGTATGGAGACAATGTTGTGTTGAATATTTGTGCTCTTTCAGGGATTTTCTTAGGCTTAAGACTGACATAAAATTAAAACATGGGCTTCTCAAAGATAGTTTTTACTAGTTTGTCAATTCTTCCTGGATATTTTAATAATATGGTATTTAATTAACTTTCAAAGAAATAAAGAAACACAGCCCACTGTGTCGCTGTGGTTTCAGTTAGATTGCCTTTTAGAACTGAAATGATCATATCCCCAATGAAAACCTACTAAAATTTAGGGACTTGCATTATAATTAACAGTCAGTTGTACATTTTATCCCCCTATAAGTTTGGTTTTTTTTAATTTCTTACTTATTTTTTTTTTATTTTTTGAGACAGCGTTTCTATGTGGTTAGAACTCACAGAGATCCACCTGCCTCTGCCTCCCAGGTGCTGGGATTAAAGGTGTGTGCCACCACTGCCCGGCTGTTTTATTATTTATAGAGTAGTATAAGACTGTACTCTTTCAGGCTGGAGAGATGACTCAGTGGTTAAGAGCACTGGTTGCTCTTTCAAAGGATCCTGGTTCAATCCCCAGCTCCTACATGCAGCTCACAACTAACTGTAACTCCAGTTCCAGGGGCCCCGACACCCTCATACAGACATACATGCAGGCAATTTTGCATTATTCATTCAAATGTTCATTACAAACAATTTCCTCTTCATTACATCATCATCATCATTTGAAACAGGGTCTCACTATGTAGCCCTGGCTTTAGAGATCTGCCTGCCTTTGCCTCCTGAATGCAGGGATTAAAGGCACATGCCACTACTACTTTTTCCCTCTTTTCTCTCTCTTTTTTCTTTTTTCTGTTTTGGTTTTTCAAGACAGGTCTTTTCTGTGTAGCTTTGGAACCTGTCGTGGAACTTACTCTGTAGATCAGGCTGGCCACTACCACTTCTTTCTGTTGCATGGGTTTTTCTTTTTTTCTTTTTTTTTTTTTTTTTTTTTTTGGTGTATGTGCCATGTGTATGCCAGGAACTGAAGGCAGGTCTGCTATAAGGTTGGTAAGTGCTCTTGCCTGGTGAGCCATCTCTTTAGCCCCTGGTATGACTTTTGACATTATCATTTTCCCTTGGTGTTGAGACTTTTGTAGTCATCTTTATTCTTATTTGCCTGATAAATACCTTGACTTTTTGGAAGCACAGTGAAACTTTGAACTAGTGTTAGCTCTCTGATACTGTTAACTTTATTAATACAGGTCCCATTTCCATGTGAGCCTTAACACATTATTTGGATTAGCAGGCCATGCTTGATGAAGACATAAAGGGAGGGCAGGATAAATAGTGACTGTTTGCTTTAAATGTTGGCATCAGTGGAATCAAATTTTACAACTTGGACATTTCTTTAAGAATAGTAGCCTGAAGCCGGGCGGTGGTGGCGCACGCCTTTAATCCCAGCACTCGGGAGGCAGAGGCAGGCGGATCTCTGTGAGTTCGAGACCAGCCTGGTCTACAGAGCTAGTTCCAGGACAGGCTCCAAAACCACAGAGAAACCCTGTTTCGAAAAACCAAAAAAAAAAAAAAAAAAAAAAAAGAATAGTAGCCTGAGCACCTACCATTTGAGTGTATCAGACCCTGTATTTAGTGTTCATTGTTTTATTTATTAGGGTTTATGGCTTTTTTAAAAAGAATTTTTGGGTGTGTGTGCATTGGTATTTTGTCTGCATATATGTCTGTATGGGGGTGCCAGATGCTTTGGAATTGGAGTTACAGACAGTTGTGAACTGCCATGTGGGTGCTGGGAATTGAACCCCAGTTCTCTGAGAGAGTAGCTAGTGCTCTTAACTGCTGAAACCTCTCTATAACCTGCAATAGGGTTTATAAGATAAGACTTTGAGCTAGGTGTTGGTGGCACACGCATGCCCTTAATCCCAGCACTTGGGAGACAGAGGCAGGTGGATCTCTGTGAGTTCGAGGCCAGCCTGGTCTACAAGAACTAGGTCCAGGACAGGCTTGAAAGCTTCAGTGAAATCCTGTCTCCAAAACCAAAAGAAACAAACAAGCAAAAGCTAAGACTTTGGACTTGAAAAGGGACTACGGTAAGCAGCTTGTTCAGAATATTGCAGCACTGAACAGAGGAAGAACTAAAGCGCTGTCCGTCGTTCCTAACTGGGGAGAATACGTGCCACAGCTTTAGTAGATAAGAAGGAAAAACAGAGAAAATGGGTTGGGAGGATTTGATGGGGAAGGGCAGGTTCAGTTTGGTCAAAGTTAAAGTGGTTATAGAATTTGCAAGTGGAATTACTGCCTTGATAGTTGTCTGTGTGGCTTTGGAGTTTGATAGAGGTTTGGGCTTAAGCTGTTATTTGGAGGTTTATATGAGATTATCCGGGTGTAGGAAAAGGGAACTAGAGATCTGCAAGGCACACCCATCATTTGAGAGAATCTGAAACAGCATAAACCAGGAGAGAGTCAGAAGAGAGTGATGGAAACCATGGAAACAGCCACAGACACTCTGGAAGGTCACCACTGTCTTCACCGCCTTTGAGAAGAAGGGAGTCTCCGTGATGTTAGCAACAAAGCCTCTGGGGTGTGGGAGGCAGCAGTCACAGCACAGCCAGTGGCTGCTTGCAGACTTCAGTAGTTTATATAATTGCAGATTATACAGATTTTTGTTAGTTGTTGGTCCTTTTTGCAGATATCTAGCATATTGTAGGAAACACAGGTTTTGATGTGTATGCCTGAATTGTGTGGATGGTTTCTTGAGCAAGGACTGGAGAAAGCAGAGTATTAATCAACTTGATAATATGTGAGTGTGGACTCTGCATTTACCAAAAGCGTGAACACAGTTACACACAGTTTCAGACTACTGTGATGTTTTAGTGGTTCTTGTTTGCCTGGCTTGGTTGCCCAGTTGTGTAGAAACACAGCTTCAGTTAATCTTAACACAAAGTTAAGATTGCTGAGTTGTCTGAGTGGTAGTGGCACACAGGAAGCAGAGACAAACAGATCTTTGTGAGTTCAAGGCCCGCTTAGTCTACAAAACGAGTTCCAGGACAGCCTGTTACTCAGAGAAACCCTATCCACCCCCCCCCCAAAAAAAAGATTGCTGAGTCAATTTCCACCGTAGTAATTCACATATGCATCCTTCCTTCTTATGGCTTCTAAGACTTTAGTAATTGGCATGTTGTTAGACTTTCCAGGCCAGTTACTTTTGAACAGGTAGTGGAAGCTTGCTTCCCTGTCTGTCAGCAGACATGAAAATAGTTACCGCTTTGGCCTAGATGAGTGGTTTTGTTTCAAATTCTATTATTATAAATGTTCTTTATTAGAGCTGGAAGGCCTTTTTTCCCCTAAGAGTTGGTAAAAGTAGGTGGAATTTAGAAATAAATCCAAAATTAATAATAAATGTTAGTGACCCGGAACTGTTTGAGGCCACAAAAGTAAATATAGTTGCCTTCTACATAGGTTTGTCATCTATAATTATGTAGTAGTCTGCATTTTTCCAGTGGAGACTTTGGTGTATATAGCTGCTTTAGGTAAGCTGTAGGTTTCATTCAACTGTTTACTTAAGTGTTTTTTTTGGATTGTGCCAAGATAGTAGAATCTCTGAGCCGTCCACAGTACAATACCAGACATTGCCGAAGTCACAGCTCATGTCTCCTTGTAACTTAGGGAAAATGGGTTTAAAGAAAACAAACTTTAGAGAGTGAGGAGTGGGAGGGAATTTTAATACATTCACCAAATGAAAGAACAACAACATACTGTAGACACAACGTCATAAACAAAATGTGAGGTAGACTGACTAGTGAGTGAAATTCACCAAATTTTGGTTAAGAAAATTTTACAGTAACAAAGTAACACAGGTGCCCCCTTTTCTAAAAATCACAAGAAGCAGTTGCATAAATTACAGCCAAAACTTGACTACAGCTTTTCTAATTTTTTTTAGGTTACATTCAATATTAACCTGTGTGAACTGTCATGCATGCCAAAGTTCAGCAGGTCTGCAGGTACATTACCATGTGACTTAATCTATTTACCCTAACTCACTGTCCTCAGGAATGGAAGAGGTCAAACACACCAAGACGTGTACTAACAAGTCATGATGGTCTGGGCTTGTGCAATTCCATCCTTAAAGAGGACCTAGCATTCACTAAAGGATTACACTGATTAAGGTAACTTTAAAATATCCAAACCTTTATTTAGGCTTTGGAGAAAAAGAGGCAGGTAAATGAAAACTTATCAATTATTGGAGTGATGGACAGTCTTGTGTTTCTATTCTGGCATTTCTCTTGGAGGAGTGGAATAGTGTTTACAGTTCATGGTCACTTGAATTTCCAGAGTGTAGCTCTAACTAACACGGAGTGCCTGCATTAAAGTAACTGAGTCCAAAAAGAAAAAGCCAGTAAGAACTCCTAAGAGGCCTCTACCCCTGGCACAATAGTTGTGGAATTATTTCAAGTATTTTTATTTACCCTACATAGTGTTATTGAAATATTGCACAAACAGTGGCTTTCTTGATATTACCTGCATTGGACCCTTTCAGCAAAACAGGAACAAGTTAGATGCATTCATACCTAAATTAGACTGCCCTGGAACATACCTCTTTGCTAAAATTCTGCTCTACTAAAGTTAAGAAGTAAGCATATAATAAGGCGGGTCCTTCTTGAGGGACAATTTAAAATGGGGTTAAAAGGAACTATCCATTTAAAATACATTTAAAACCTCATTAGAACCAAGAGAGCTGCAATCCATTCCATCTTCTCACTAGCTGTAAACTTTTAATCCTGGATAACCAAGCTTATCAGCTAACACTGCAATTAGTGCAGGCTCAGTAGGCTTTCAGTAGTCTTGGGTTCTCAGACAGATTCAAGGAAAGGTGACTATCTTAACTAGAGATAAAATCAGACACGTGGCTGAGAAAACTCTGAAAAGGTACCATGAAGTAGAGCAATTTACATGTAAACTTCAATAGATTAGTGTGGAATATTTTCTCAAAATGTTTCTGATTAAAATATTTGATGAGGAATCCATAGAAACTTATACCCCTACTGTTGATATTAGTCATACACTACCCACTAATTTTAATGAGTTCAAAAGGCGCTTTGCGGAGTCTTCCTTACTCCTCAGGAAAAATGTCACTGATAAAATTAAGGAAAACGTGTCTGGTTCTGTTTCCCATTTCCACCCATTTTTGTGTGTAAGACAGCTGTTACTGGTTAAGTCTTTTAAAGGATGCTTAGCCTGAGTCCCAGCACTCAACTAGTTCAAATCCACAATGAATCCCAGCCTGTTGTGTGGGTTTCCAGGTGCCAACTCCTTCCTTTCAACTGAAACACAGTGACAGAGCATAAGTGCAGAACGCTCATCCGTCCACATAGCTTCCTGTACAAAACACTGTTTACATTCTCACAGACACGGTGTGCTTCCAGACTGGAATGGGCAAGACAAAGGACTCAAGCTCAGAGAACCCTCATGAATGCACCTAGTGCCTGCATGTACTGATTCTTTGTTCCCTTTAAATAGTAAACTTTTAACTCCTGTGGAAATTTTGCCAAAGGTTTCGAAATATATAAGATTATAAATCTTAAACTAACACTGCACAGAGAAAGACAAAGCTATTTCTTTTTAAATACAAATATCTTCTACATTCTATCATTTCAGACCCCTGAGTAATACTGTACCAAGGTACAGAGCTGAAGAGAAACTGAGGGTTCAGGCCTCAAGTGTTAATCTTCAATTAATTCCACACCAGTGGTGTGAGTCTCATGTAACACATTCAAGCTGGCTAATGCTGACGGTCGGTCCCCTGCCCCCAACATAATGTAGTAGGAAAAACAATGCATACTCCATGTTTGTTCTCTATCCTCAGGCTCCCATAGCACATCCTGACCTGAATCTGGGTCCTGTCAGCGGAACTAAAGAAGACCTTGGTCACATTTGGGGAGCTCTTTGGAGAAGAGATAAATATGTTGCACTTTGCTCCACAGTGATTGTACGTTAAAGGAAATAAAATCCCCAATAATTGTTGTCCCACTCCATCTAGGGATCAGTTTGTTGTTTTTGGTCTCTTCAAAAACTCATACATGCCGTCCAGTAAGAAAGTAGAGAGGTTTATCATCACTGCTGTTGGCAGTTTGAAACTCATCTCGGAGGCGAAACTGCCACTCATCCTCCAACTCTAAGCGAACAATTGTCTGCCGTAAGGAGCTTCTGTCTTGGCAGATGACGCACAAGGTAGCACCTTCAGGAGGAACAGACGTTAAATTGATAAGGATGTTAACCACATTTGAGAACCAACATACAGGTAGATATTTTTTTTAAATATTTATTTATTTATTATTTATACAATATTCTGTCTGTATGCCTGAAGGCCAGAAGAGGACGCCAGACCTCTTTACAGATGGTTGTGAGCCACCATGTGGTTGCTGGGAATTGAACTCAGGACCTTTGGAAGAGCAGGCAATGCTCTTAACCACTGAGCCACCTCTCCAGCCCCACAGGTAGATATTTTATTCTTAGTTGTTTTGCGAAAGTGTCGAGGAGCTTAAAGTGATGCTAGAAGGAGCTTTCCTTCAGCCTCAGCCTCTCTTGTAGTGACTGACAAGATCATTGTTTGCTGAGTCTGTAGAGCAGGCATTCTCAACCTGAGCACTTTGTTGTGTGTGCTGGGTCCCAGTCTGTGCCGTGCAGTGTTTACCATACTCCCAGCTTACTATCTGCTGAGACACACAGCGACAGCCAACAGCCTCTTCAGGCACATACCCTTCCTCTACCTGAGAACCACTGCTACACACACACACTCTTACACACACACTCAGAGCTCGTGCCCACTTTCATGGTACATATAGTATACTGAGTGTCTTCTATCACTGACCTCAGGTCATCTTGTAAGGATGATTTGTGGTCCTGGATTTGTAGATATTCTTAAGTAAGGTGAACCTATTAGGACAACTTTAGTGTCTGTGCCAGCCTCATAACTAAGAGTATGTCTGGGGGGGGGGGGTACAATTATTCAATTTTTCTGCTGTTGATTTCTGACCCACTCAAATGACTTTAGAGTGTATATATTGCTTACAAACATGTATAGGTAGAATCAAGCTAGCTTCTGTCCAGATTAGATACCAGAAACATATATTTCTAAAATAAATAATTGTAAAAGTCTGTTTAAGAAGTCACGGATAAAGATAGCTCAGTGGTTAAGAGCCTTCCTGCTGCTTGCAGAGAACCCAGGTTCAGTCCCCAGCACCCGGTCAGATGGCTCACACCCTTAAGTTCCAGGGGTTGGATACCTTCTGGCTTCTGTAGGCACTTGAACACATAAACATACATAAAAAAAAATCTTTTTTCATTACAGATCTTACCCCAATATTATCAGTAGCCCTGGTTTAGAATCAAAGTATTCAAACTTTGGCCAAAGCTTTGCTTGCTTGTGTGCCATTCAACTCTTGATTTTTTTTTTCTTCTAGTGACAATAGCATTCACATTCAAGACATTGAATTTGACTTACCTTTTAGAAACTTGAATTTCTTGAGAAGATCGGCACCTACAAAAGAGTCACAGAGGTACAAGAGGAGTCCACTGAAAAACACCCCTTCACAGTTGACATTGCTGGAATGGGGTCTGGAGCTGACATAGCATATGGCTACCTGAAAGAAATAAACAAACAAACAAAACCAAAGACATTTCACAAGCAATAGAGAACTGTCCTTTTGCTGAGGAACACTGTAGTCAGTGCCTTCCTCTTCAGTTGGGATGTAAGGTGAGAGCCACACTTCCTCAATATAAGTTGTTGATTATTTACACTTTGTACTTATTTAGTAGTAAAGTTTCAATAGGTGTGTGTGTGTGTGTGTGTGTGTGTGTGTGTATGTGGTTTTTCGAGATAGGGTTTTTCTGTAGCTTGGGAGCCTGTCTGTCCTGGAACTAGCTCTTGTAGACCAGGCTGGCCACAAACTCACAGAGATCCGCCTGCCTCTGCCTCCCAAGTCCTGGGATTAAAGGTATGCGCCACCACTGCCCAGCTAAGTTTTAATATTTTTAAATCTCTCATTATATATTATACATATGTTAGATTAATCATTCTTCTGACAGAATTTTGTGTGTGTGTGTGTAAATTTTTAAAAAGCCCTACATTCTGGGGCTAGAGAGTTAAGAGCACTGGCTGCTCTTCCAAAGGCCCCTGGTTTGACCCCTAGCATCCACATGGCAGCACACAGTCATCTGTGACTTCAGTCTCAAGGGATCCTACATCCTCTCCTGGCCTCCATAGGCACCAGACATGTATTTATGCACATGGAAATAAAATGTCCATATGCCCATATACATAAATAGTAAAAACAAAACAATACCACATTCCGTAAAAAACAAAAACCATGCATAGGAAAGAGTAAATATATTTCACTCTTATTTCACTCTGAAATAAGCTTAAAATAGCATTTCTAGGTCCATGTGGCTTCCATGATAGGCGATAACCACAAGCATTACAGGAAAGCAGAAAGATAGAAGAGAGAACAATGGGGTAGCTACGCTTGAATTCAAACACTGGTTCCTTCAGTTAGAAGTCATATGGCATTGTACAGTTCCTCATCTACATAGGTAAGAAAACCTGTTAGATAGAAGTATTTTTGATTGTTAATTTAGTCTGTTCAGTATTAAGCAAATATTAGCTGCTATTAGTATTGAGATTGTGCTGACACATGGTTGGGTCTTTGTGTTTTAAGGCAGAATCTCACTCTGTATCCCAGGCTAGCTTCTGGAATGCTGGGTGTACAGACATGTGCCTCCATGTTCAGCTATCATCTGATTTTAAAGTTTCTATTTATAAAGTTAATGGTGTAACCCACTACAAGGATTATTAACAGAAGTTAAATTTAGTTTCCAAAATTGAATGCACTAGGACTTGAAAGAGTTTGTGTATGGAGTCAGTTCTCGGCACTATCTGGGTTCAGGGTTGAGTTGGCAGCATTGGCAGCAGCTGCCTTTACCCACTGAGACACACCATCCTGCCAACTAGGCTGGTTTTTGTTTTAAAAAATTCATTATAAGGATATATCACATTATTGAAGTTAATGCAATGGACTTAAGATAATGTGAAGGAAAAGCTTGGCAGACACAGGGAGATGCAAATGCAACTAACAAACTAGACGGCAACTGAGGGGCTTGAGAGTGGGGAGAGGTGGCAGCTGTAAAGGTGCTGAGCTTGTACTTACTCATCAGGAAAGACACTGTGTGCCTTTCAAGAAGAGACTCTCGAAAAAATCCACATAATGACAGCACAGTCTTATCATTGTTTAAATGAGCAAGTGGCTGCTTCTGTCCACACCGCCAGGGCAGGCTCTTCAGAGCACTGGCTAATTCTGTTCTTGTGGGGCCCTTTGAATCATACTGTCATTGGCTCTTCTAGAACCATCTATGTTTTCAATGGAACTAAAATGGGGAAGAAATGGATGTGGCACCCAGGACTAGCCAGTCCCGCCTTTACCTCCTGTCCAATGTTAAGGTAGCAGTCAATGGCCAATACAGGACTCTTGAAGTTATGGATGGCTTTGGGGAAGAGTTTATATGAGGCATGTTGAAGGAACTTCTCCAGAAGGAACTGTGCAGGGGCTGCCAGTAGCGTGTGTTCACTGTCGGGAGCACAGACGTACTGAAGGGGCAAGATGGGAGCTAAGCTCTCTGAAACCTGAAATCAGATGGTCATGGGAAATGTGCCTGTCAGTGAATGAAATGTCTAAGATTACAATGGATTGCACCCTAATAACTTCCACATACAGCACCCCCAAAGGAACCTGAAGTTACACTTAGCATTGACATACATAAATACATTATAATTTCTAAATTAGGCACACAATATCTAAGTGTGGTCACTTGAGAGCCAAGGCATAGATTGTCAGACCATGGTTAATGATGGTAAATTCCAGATAAAGGACTGTTAGGGGCTGGAGAGGGGGCTCAGTGGTTAAGCTGTTCTTGCAGAGGACCAAGGTTTGGTTCCCAGCAACCACATGGAGGCTCAAAACCACTGTAGCTCTAGATCCAGGGGATCCAACACCCTCTTCTGGCCTCTGCAGGCACCAGATACACACACAGGGCACATACATACATGTAGGCAGGCAGTAAGTTCATACACACAAATAAAAAATTAACTTTCAAAAACTAGCAACTAAAGAGGAATTGCTGTATTAACAGCAGTGGCCTGATGTGCTCTATGTCTCATTTTGTTCTGCATTCCCCCTTCTCCCACTTGAAGAATAGTCCAATGTTATTTAAGTTAAAGCAAGAATTTTTGGAATGTTACTGTATTTAATAGATATGTTGTTGGGCCCAAAGGGAAGTCTTTAGAGTGCTGCTCGTGTGTCTGGGCTGACTCGTGTCCTACTCAACAACAAAAAGCAGGAGTTCCTCAGCTGCAGTGATCAGCTAGCAGCAAGCCCCACCCCCACCCCCCATGGGAATGGAGTAAAGAATTCTTTTTATAAGCTTTGAGCTGTAATATTTTCTTAAAAACACGCACACGCACTCACACACAGGACCAGATGAGTATTTGTATCAGTATTTTTCTCCTGGGTTACATAAAGGTTGTTTTGAAAAGCTTTGCAGTCGGGCCCACACTTTAAGCCCAGCACTCGGGAAGCAGAGTGGAAAACAAACAAACCATAGAGCTTTGGAATCTTTAAGGCTTAACTCTGGGACTTCCCTGCACAGCTGACACTGAGGACTCCGGCTACTTCCCTTTCTAACGCAGCAAAAAAGCACTTATGTGCCAGTACTTTAATGACAGCCATTTCTAAGAGAGCATTTGTGCTTGTTTTCAACAGTAGGATCAAGCTGCATAGAACTTACCATGATCTTTGGTTTAATGATAAAGTCCCTTTGCCCTCCAACCTGAACATGCTTCTTCATAAGACTGAAGTTATTAAAGCGGCAGATGAGCAGGCCACTGCTGTTTGTTCTCAGGTTAAAGTCAACATCTTCACAGAAATACCTAAATCAAAACCACATCTCAACTATGATAACTATACAGAAAAATGCATGGCAGACATTAGGGGAGGGCCTGAAACATCACCTTGTCCTCAAAGAGCTGGCCCACACTCTACTCATCTGGCATTATAAGCTTTAAAGGAAGGAGGGCTTGCTTCTTTTAGGCCGCAGGGTTTAGGTTCCTGTCAGACACAGGGCTATATATCCTGTGGTCAGGAAAGCCAGAGGTCTTGTGGTTTACAGTTCTGTTCACATGCAGGATGAAGCACGGAAGCAGTGGGTATTCTAATAGCTACAGGTTGGGGGTGGATATTAAGACTACATAGTTTCTGCTGGGCAGTGATGGCACTTGGGAGGCAGAGGCAGGCGGATCTCTGTGAGTTCGAGGCCAAACTGGTCAACAAGAGTTACTTCCGGGACAGGCTCCAAAGCTACAGAGAAACCCTGTCTTGACACCCCCCCCCCAAAAAAAAAAAAGACTTTATGGTTTCTGATATCATTCCTTGACCATTTCAGATTTCTTAGGAATGTGGGTGTGATCAATTCAAGAGGCCTTACTGCTGCCTTCTGTGGGTCTTACAGCACTGGAGAGAGTGGTTTCCTCCTTAGTTCTGAGGATGAATATGGGGTTGATATTGGACATTCATAGGTCCACATATGGATCAGTATTGATTCAACAGTTTATTGAGTAATCAGGTGGCTAACATTCCAGTATCAAGTCTAGGTCATGCTAGGTGACAGATGCCTGTGATCCCAGCCCTCAGGAGGGTCACAAGTGTGAGGCCAGCCTGTGTCACATAATGAGTTCTGGGCCAGGGGAGTTAGCTGAAAGGGGGTTGGCGATTCAAGGCAGAAGAGGCTGAAGTGGACATCCATTGGCAGATGCCACGGTGGCCTGCATCCATGAGGACTGACCTACCTGTTGAAGTCGTACTGCACATTTTGAGTTAGGTCTATATTGAGGAGAATGAAATCATGCACATGACATCTTGAGAATGGAGCCTTTAGGCTCTGAGACGTCAGCTTGCTATTCCATTTCTGTATGCCCAGAATTGCGTAGTGGACAATTTTTGGTGTGGCTTCAATATGCTGCAAGACACTCTTCAAGGACACATTCTTGCTGGAGATTCCTGCTTCTGTGGGCTGGCTGTAAAATATAAAGTTAGTTTATAGAAAATGTCAATAAATGTTACTGAAGAACCAATGCTACTATATATTAGGAATGCTGTAAAAGATGTAGTAAGATTATTTATATTAAGAAAGTCAACTCCAGTCACACTGCCTGTCATGACTCAGAAAAGATGGCCTTTGGTAGTGTATGTTATCAAGGCAAAAAAAAAAAGGAGGAAGAGAAGAAAGGAATTCAGCTCATATTTCTTTTCTTTTCTTTTTTTTTTTGGTTTTTCGAGACAAGGTTTCTCTGTGGTTTTGGAGCCTGTCCTGGAACTAGCTCTTGTAGACCAGGCTGGTCTCAAACTCACAAAGATCCGCCTGCCTCTGCCTCCCAAGTGCTGGGATTAAAGGCGTGTGCAACCACCGCCCGGCTCAGCTCATATTTCAACATGAATAATGAACATGAGTTAACAAAGACATGACAGAGGTTAGGAGTACAGAAATGGCCAGTTCTGATCATTACATGTAATAACTATATGAACATTTCATTGATTTCAAATCCACAGAAGTAATGGTAGGAAATCAGCATTTCACTGGGGGCACTGTTGAGTTTGGGGCAATTTCACAATTGTTTCAGTAGTCAGCATTCCCCGAGCACTGTGAAGGACTATTAGGACTCCAGGAGAAGACGGGATTTCAGCTGTATTACAGTGGTGAGCTCGAGACAGAGGCCACATGACTTCCTCTCCACTGCAGTAGTCAGGCTGGCGATAGAAGTGAATTGCAACACCAGAACAGGTTTGTTTTTTCACATAGTCTTACTATGTAGCTGGCCTAGAACTTGCTATGTAGACCAGGCTGGTGTCAGACTCAAAGCGGTTATCCTGCCATTGCCTCCTAAGTGTGTAACACTATACCTTGGCCAGAACAGATTTTTGCAGCTAACGAATACCAAAATGTGGAAATGGCTCAGGAACTTTGTGACACGCTGTCTTTAGAATAACCACCAGTGACCTACTAAGTGCTCTTATAATCCGCCATGCTCAGGAGAACTGTCTCTTCTTTACTCCCAAATACAACTACAGCTGAAAATGCTTTGTCTGGGTCTTTGTGTCACCCCCCACATACATACTACTTCCTGGAAGTGTCACTCCCCTCCGCACCCCCCCCACAACTACCTGGAAGTGTCTGTCACCCCCCCCCACACACACAAGTTCCTGGAAGTGTCACCCCCCCCACAAGTTCCTGGAAGTGTCACCCCCACACACACAAGTTCCTGGAAGTGTCACCCCCCCCCACAAGTTCCTGGAGTGTCACCCCCCATACACACAAGTTCCTGGAGTGTCACCCCCCACACACACAAGTTCCTGGAGTGTCACCACCTTGGCTCCTCAGCGCTGTGAATATTCCACAGGACACAGGAGTCATCCATCACAACAATGAAAGGCCAGACACACTGCCGTTTGACTCCCAGCTCCTCCAGGCGATTCCTTTCCAGTTCTAGGTTGTGGTAAGACAGCTCCTTGATGAGGAACCTAGCAGCACCTGAAAAGCAGACAACCACAGCTTGACATCTTTCACCCAGACCAGTCACATGACCTCCACTGGTATCCAGGGATGGGGCATGCTAGAGAGAAACTGAGAGGACCCTAGTTTGGTTCCTAGCACCCACGTCAGGCAGCACCAGCGGGAATCTGATGCTTTATAATGTGTTAAAAATCTCCAAAAGAGTCACTGGAAATGTATTTTAAAATACAGATTCCTGGAGCCCATTACTAGAGATTCACTTAAGTCTAGTGAACGGCCAGAAACAAATCTGAGGGATATACTTCAATTCCATTTCCCTGATATGACAAAGGACGCGCATACAGCAAATGATATTAGTGACTAGGGCCTTGCTCTTAGAGACAACCACTTGCACATCCATCAGAGAGGAAGACAGAGTCTTGATGAATGAAGAGTTTAACAGCACCTATGGCGATTCTGGAAACAGGCACCCATCCTAGATCTGAACTGTGGAAAAGATAGAATAGAACAGTAGATGTGTGGTACAGAGCAAGAGAATAGGCCAGAGACAGGCTCATTCAGTCAATTCTATTGAGCTTTGGCTTCCTCCCCTCTAAAAGAAGTGATGATGGAGTTACATGTGACATACGCTCTGTGGAATGCTAGTGGTAAGTTAGAGGAATTAGCTAAACTTTATTTGTTTTATTATTATTACTATTCGTTTTTCAAGACAGGGTTTTTCTGTGTAGCTTTGGAGCCTATCCTGGAGCTTGCTCTGTAGACCAGGCTGGCCTCAAACTCACAGATATCTGCTGCCTCCCCAAGTGCTGGGATTAAAGGTGTGCGCTACCACCCCACTAGCTAAATTTTATAAGTGGGCCACCCTAAAATGAAACAAAATGTAGATTATAACAAAAAGGGCTAGTTAGTGTACTGAAGAACCCCAAACGGGGTTAGCTCAAGGTAATACTAGGACTTAGGAACATCTCCCCTCAAGAGTCTGTGTTTGCATTCTCAGCACCCTATGGACACAGGACAAATGGACAGCAACATGGCAGCCAATGAAGAAAGAGCAAAGGTTTTTCAGCTATGGTCAGGAATAGGAAAACGATGTCTAGTCAGAGCCCATAGGCAAGAAAGGGAAAATGATCTCAAACAAAATAGTAAAACGATGTTCCCCAACAATATAGCTACATGGAAAAAATACACAGGAAACTGTTAGAACTGTAAGAGAATTCAGCAATTTAAAAGAACAGTCTCAGGAATTTAGTTCTCATATAGCATGGGAAGGTAGAATACTTAGGAATATACTTAATCAAGGAGGCAAAAGATAGTACAGTGAGAAACACAAAATATTGAAGAAAATAAAAGGATATGCCAATAAATGGCAAGATGCCCAATGTTCATAGTTATAAAACATGATGAAGTAACTAATGGATGGTGACAAGAATGCAGAGGGATGGGCTCTCTTGTGAGCTGGTGGGGCAGCTCTTGTAGAAAATGTGCACAGTCCTACCTAAAGCAAACTGAGCCTGGAAGTGCGTGTGAGCCAGCAAGTCCGCTGGTGGGCCTATATCCAGAAGAGAGATGACCATTATACTGAAGAGACACTTGCAGCCCCATGTCTACTCACAACATCTTCAGTAATGAGGTCAACCTAGATTCCCATAGATAAACAATATAAATAAAGGCATGTGCTACTACCGCCTGGCTACATGTAGGTTTTTTTTTTTTTTTTTTAATGAACTGTGGCAAAGAATCTCAGGCTAAGGATGTCATCAAGTATTTCAAATGCAAGAAATGAACCAAAAATTGGCTTGTTAAAAAAAAAAAGCTGGGTGTTGTGGTGCACACTTTTAATCCCAGCACTCAATAGGCAGAGGGTAGGTGGATGTCTGAGTTCAAGGACAGCCTGGTCTACAGCAATTCCAGAACAGCCAGGGCTACACAGAGAAGGAACCCTGACACTTGTACACTTGTAGCAACATGGATGAAACTGAAGGTTGTTACATAGATGAATCCAGCCAGAGACAGAAGAACTCAGAAACAGAAGAGCTCAGTGGAAAAGCTTGGGAAGGGCAGAGAGGAAGAAGTGCGGAAAGTCCAGCAAAGACCCCCAACCAGGAGGTGTTAATTCTAGTTTTCTATAGCATAGTTGATGAGCTTCGTTAAAACAACACTATACATATCAAAATGACTGGAAGAATACAAAACTCCAAATACATGAGAGTGATTCCTATTTAGAGAAAGTATGTACACTCTGATTTGATTATATGTTACATACATTATCATAATCCATACAAGTATGCAAATATGTCTGAAGTTTTCAAAAGGTGCAGGTTTTATACTTCTTCCTTTCAAAACCTAAAGCCAAGACAGAGCTGTAGAGAGTCAAGAAATAAACCCTCTCATAGACGACAAGGGTGCCAATTCCATTCTTGGGGGAACATCTGGATACCACACGAAAAGCTAAAGTTTCACCCTTACCATACAATAATTAATTAAAATACTTCCATAACCTAAATGCCTTCAGTTCCTTGACAGGACTAGAACTTGCCTTGTGCCCTTAGCAGGAGACACAGAAGGGAGCCCTCTAAATCACATACATCGTCACCTCCCTCCCTAGGAACATTTCTCATGGATACATTCTGGCCCTAGAATGTCCAGCCCAGGAACATTGGGAGTCCACTCTTCGAAGACTCCCTGTCCCGTCCCAGAGTGTTCATTATTCCAGCGACTTAGTCCTTACTGGTCCTCAGAAGTTAAAACTTTTGTAAACTTGAACAAAAATGTTAGGGTCTACAAGATTACAAAGTGGGAGAAGGAAGGACTCAGAATTAAAAGACCCATGGTCAGGAGGACCATGAGCAATGTTTGGAAGATGCAGTCAAGGGAATGAATTCCCATCGTCTTCCCCATCTTACCCACGCCGGCATTATTGAACATTCCGGGAAGCACTAGCATGATGTGGTTGGGCCAGTACTTTCGGTACAGTGGCATCTCGTATTCTTTAACCACCAGGAGGTGAAGATGGCTGATGCCCTCCATGGCATGGAAAAGGTTTAGGAGTCCATGCTCGTGGCGACCACTGGAAGGAGTGAAAATAGGGCTCTTGACTGCATTTAGATTCTGTGAAAGGAAAACAATGAGAGCAGAATGGGAAAGTAAAACCCTCAGGCGTGAGAATCTTGGAGGACCCACCTAGGGCCCAAAAGCCCTCACACCCAAAAACTCTAGCCCACCTTGTCCGAAACCAGGGGCAGCCGCATACTTTCCAGGTGTCTACCCTGTTTGCTGAAGACAAAATGACTCTCTTTGGACTTTGGAATGATGAAATAGAGCTGGACTTCTTCTCCCAGCATAGAAGAGGAAAAGGTGAATGCATGAAGGGTAGAGTCAGATATCTAGATTTGCAAACAAAGAGAGGGATGATCAGTATATGGTTTCCTGATTTCCAGGCCATTCTTTGAGATTTCTGACACAAGCAGCCGAGATGAGTTAGTGCCCCAGACATTCTGGCTGAGGGGCAATGTGGAAAAGGCTTCATCGTTTCTAGCTGTCACTGCTGCAGGAACCAAGTGTGGAGCCCTGCTATAGATGCATTCCTCAAAGGCCCCAGGTACAGAGGACTCTCCTCTGTGAATCACAGTGGACACGTTAAGTTTCAGCTCTTAGAGAGCAGGGCTAGGATTAAAAGTGTGCCCGTGGCTCCATCTTTTCTGGTTATAATGGACAGTGGAACATATCCAACATTTGGTGCAGAACGCTGACATCAGCGAAAGACCACGTGACTCAGAAAAGCCAAGTATATCTTACGCTATCTGTGTCCAGGAGCCTGTCTCCACGAGTAAGTATAACTCTATATATGGGCTGTACAATGAAGCCAATAACTGATTTAATACATAACAAATTTTCGTCAGCACCTAAAATCCATGTAGGTTTCCTAATAGTTTTAACCCAAACATTACATTTCAGAAAAAAATAAGGTTTTTCCCACAGATTCTAGTTCCACATCACAAATGAGGGGATCTATTACTTGTACTGTAGTCACACAGAAACTGTGTCAGGAGATTCTATGTAGGAAATTTCTAAACACATAAATCATAGGCCAAGGCACTTGTTTCTTCTATATCCTGTGAAGAATTGTGAACAGAGCCAGTGGGATAGCTCAGCAGGGCTTCCCACCAATCCCTAGGGCCCATGAGGGCGGAGTGAGGGAACCAGCTCACACATGCATGCGTGTGTGTGCGCGCACACACACACACACCACTTAAAGAATCGTCAACGAACTAGGAGCCTTCCAAGAATAGCTACAACAGTGACTGGTTTGGGGAATTTGCTCAGGACAGCCTAGAAGCAACAGGGTCCCAGGTGCTCAGTGCCAAGACATAAAATTCAAGAAGAGAAATAGGGACATGACATGGAGCTTCTCCCCCAAAGTAGGCGTTACTATCAGCACTGCTGCTTCCTCCTTTGGTGTGGAAGAATGTCTAACAATCATTTTCAAGGCCCGGAGATGTATCCGTAATGCCCAAAATATGAGAAAATAAAACCAGGCACGGTAGGCATGCCTATAATTCTGTTCAGTATACAGGATTGTGAATTCGAAGCCAGCCTGGAACAGTGAGCTCCTGTACTAAGAAGCACATCGAAGGAAGAGACAACTGCTAAGTAATAGTTTATATTGTTTTTCTAGGGCCTGAAGCCAGGAGTCTCACGTTTCATCTTCCCTGTCCCCCATACATACAAGGTTCATAGTGGCAACAGAGTTCCCACAAGGGCAAACCAGCTGCACCTGGGAGGTAGGCGTGAAGTCCATGTACTGGTGGCACTGCTCACAGTGGTGGAAGGTGTTGTAGGCCGCATATTTGGTCAGCATCATAGACATGGTTTCTCGTTTCCGGGGCTCCTCAACTTTATATTCCTTTATTACTTCTGTGTATAAGGGGATGAGAAACTGTTATCTCCATGGCATGCACATAAAGCTTAGAAAGAAATGCTTATTTCTCGTACGACAGGGTTTCTCTGTAGCTTTGGAGCCTGTCCAGGAACTCACTCTGTAAACCAGACTGGCCTCAAACTCACAGAGATCCACCTGTCTCTGCCTCCCATGTGCTGGGATTAAAGGCGTGTGCTGCCACTGCCTGGCTCAAAAAGCTATATAATCTGAGCCCTGATAAGCAAGTTTAAAAATCAAGATGTATGTGTGTTCATTGTGAAAAACAGAATTACTCCCTCCCCCACCCAAATCCTGCTTTAGAGTCCCCTCAAACACTTCAGAGCCTGGCTTTACATATACCCACCTTGTTTGAGCCCAGCCAGCTTCTCAGTGTAGACCAGGCTCATCAGACTGTACTTGGGGTCATGCACACTGACGTCAAAAGGCATTTTGCTGAAGGTCTCAATGTCAGGCCAGGGCTCCTGCTCTGACTTGCTCACTCCGCAGGTTTCATTGGGATCTAGGGCAGGGCAGGGCACAGGACAGGTGGACCCACTTTCTCCCTCCCGCCCACCACTCTGAAGCGCAAAGCCTGGGACGTTGTGACAAAGGCACTTTTAAGAAATGAGCTCTCCCTTTTCTGTTTTTATTTTTAATTAACTTATTTATGTTAAGGGCCTGTGTGTATGTCTGTATGATGGGGGCCAGATCCCCTGGAACCGGAGTTAAGACAGTTGTGAGCTGCCACGTGGATGCTGGGAATTGAACCCTAGTCTTCTGGAAGAGCAATAAATGCTCTTAACATCTGTGCCATCTCTTCAGCCCTGAAACAAGTTCTTATCCCAAAGTAGAAGGAACCAGAACCATTCCTTCAGACTTCTGGGAAGGGTATTTCCCCTTACTCGCCCTGAGTAGTTCACAGACTCACACTAGCTCAGTTCACAAACGCCTAACCTGTAAGACCAGAGTCTCCCAGTGCTCCAGACGTGGATGATCAAAATTCTCAGCTTTAGCTCTGCGATGATTCTGTTAGCGTTCTTTCTACCACTGAGCCATGGCCCTAGCACTGTCTCCATGGCCCTAGCATGTCTATAAAAATTTGAGACAAGGATTGCTAATTTTGGTTGTCAGTTTGACTGCATCTGAAGTCAATAAAAAACAAAAAACCATGCAGCTAGGCACACCTGTGAAGGATTTTTTGACTGGATCATTTGAGGCCAGAAGATCCACTTTAACTCTGGGCCACACCTCCTCGTGGCAGTGTACAGCAAAGGATATGGAAGAAGGGATCTTTTGCTTTTTGCCTGCTTGCTCTCACTCTTGCTAGCAAGCTTATTTATCCTGCTGCTGAGGTGTTACTTCCTACGGAGACTCAGCCGTCACCAGAGTGATGGGAAAAGGAGAAAGTGAGGCCCTTCTGCTAGTGACAGCTCAGGGGGACACAGCATTACCTCTGTAGCCGCATGTTGGGTAAAATCAAAGGCTGTGGTGTCTAGGAGCACAGTGCAGGCTGGAAGGACCACAGGGTTTACCTATCTGGGCACCTACGAAAGCTGATGAAACAGCTGTGCCCAGCAGCTTGCTGCACCCTGGAGAGAGGCCCCCAGACGCTGAGAGCCACAGTTCACTTGGGATTATTTGCTGAATATCTTGTCTTTAATCTCATAATAACTCTGTAGCTTAGCTACCCTAGACATTCAGAGGGTGAAGCAACCTTGGCTCTTGGGTCTCTCAGGCCTTGGCCGTAGTGTCCAGCCTCACCTGTGTTTATCTCCTCCTCGTCGTACACGTCCACCTCCAGCAGCCGAATGAGCATGCGGAAAAGGATCCTAAGGAACTGTAAATAGGAGCCAGTCTTTCCCACCTGATGGAGATAGTTTTAGTTGAGGAAGGGTGGAGGAGGGTAAGAGAGGGAAAGGAAGAAGAAAAGAGAATTCTTTCACACTTTGGCTCTTTAGCTGAGGTCGGAATGAGGTCTTCTGCCACCCTTGCCAACCCCCAACTTGTTGTCCCCCTACAGCCAAGACAAAGCCTGCCCTGTTCCTTCCCTACCTGGGGGGGCCCAGTGAGCAGCAAGCGCCTCGGGTGCAAGGTCCGGGCGCCTGAGGCGGGGTCTGGCTGGTTGCTGTAGTCCGCGTGGTGCTGCCGGGCAGAGGTCCACTGGCGGTAGTAAAGGGACTGCTCCTCGCTGCCCATGTCCTTGTGCAAGCCTGGCCGCAGGGAGCTCACCCAGGCCACATCGGCGTGGGGTAGCAGGGACGAGGAGGGTGGCAGCGTGCCGCCCTTCTGGGATCCCAGCAGGCTGTATGCAGCTTTGGATAAGATCACCACTGGGGGCAAGGCTGTGTGCAGACCCCGGCAGCCTCTGGAGGGCTGCCCTGACCATGCAAGAGCCTGGGCACTTGAGGGTGAGGTCGAAGAAGGCTTGGAGGTGGTGCTGCTGGCCATTGGAAGGCCCAAGGAGTCACACTCCTGCTTCAGGCTCTCCCCAACCACAGCAGTGCTGGCAGAGACCCCTTCATCCAGCCGGACACTGGGGGTCAGAGGCTGCTGCTGGGATTTGTCAGCTGTGCTGGAGGAACTCACCCCGTTCTCCATGATGGAACCTGGAAGAGGACAGTGGGGCTCGTCCTATTCTTCCCACTCCCCAGTGTCAAGGTCGGGAGTTAAAGGCTATGGGGGGTGGGGGATCCAAAAAACAAACAAAAAAAGCTTTAGGTACCGCAGACAGCGATGGAATATTTTCTCTGCCTGGGCCTCTAGACTGCCTCCTCCAGCTCCCTTGCCCTGGCTGCTGTGGCTCATGGGGGACACAACTAGAAGTGTCCCCTGGTTTCCTTCCCACATTGTCTCCTGGATGACCACCCTTCTCTGGGAAGCCAGGCAGGGTTCACAAGGTCACTTTGTCACCCGCTGTTCCTTTTCTAGAGTCCTCCCACCTCCTCTTTCAGATGGCCCCACAGTCATCTGTGGCTGTGACACTTGCTGCCTTGGTGGGCTGAGAGCCTTCCACTTTGCTGAGTTCCCCAGTCTAGAGCCATTTCCTAAACCAGGATAGGGATGTCGCCATGGGAGCAGTTAGAAAGTAGACCTGCTCCTGCTCTGGTGGACGAACCTCTAAATACTCATGGCTCAAGGCCCTCTCTGAGCCAGTTCTAATAGGCTATGGGAGAAAACCTCGCTCTGGCTAGAGAGAGGGCTCAGCTGTTAAGAGCATATGCTGCTTTTGCAGAGGCCCCACGTTTAACTCCAGCACCCATGTGAGGTGGCTCACCAATGCCTGGAACTCCAGCTCCAGAGGATCCAATGCCTCTGGCATCTGTGGGCACAGCATTCATGTGCACACTCCCCACCCTGGAGACACACACACACACACACACACACACACACACACACAAAGATAATTAAAAATACTTTTCTGAGAAAGAAAGCCTCCTTCCTGCTCCTGTGATTGGGGGGCTTCCAACTGTTGAGATCATGGTGCCCTACTCTTAAGTTACTCCATGTTGTGTATATAAAAACAGTGCTCCTCGCCATCTTAGGGGAGAAAGGTGATTGCAGCCCCTGCGTGGGCCGAGAAACTGGACCATCTGTTGGTCACCACCTATTCAGCACAGAATGGCCAATAACTTTTTCCTAGAAGATCAAGAAAAGAGTACAGGTTGCTCCCTTGCCTGGCCTAATACTGTGATGGCGTGACCCCGCACCAGCCTGTCATCTGAGACCTGCTGTCCCTTCTTATTCTTAAAGGTTTGGGCCAAGCTTCCTGCTCTCCGTTACTGGTTCAGCCTTCACCTGGCAGTCACACTCTATGGTTAGATCTGACAACAGTTCCCTCCTGTGGTTTTTTTGTTTGTTTGTTTGAGACAGGATTTCTCTGTAGCTTTGGAGCTTGTCCTAGAACTAGCTCTGGTAGACCAGATTCGCCTACCTCTATCTCCAGAGTGCTGGGATTAAAGGCATGCACCACCACTGCCCAGCATCTGGTTTGGTTTTAATTCAGGCTTTTTCCTCAGCCCACTTCTGAACCCTCTTGAACTTTGCTGCAACCTCTTTAACCTGTTTTCTTTGTGACCCTTTTATACACATCTGTAGACACACACACATTTTACTGTGTGCTGTGTGATATGAGAATAATATTAGTAACTAAGATCAGAATAGAGTCTGCGTTAGTCAGGCAACCAAGGAAGGCAGATTATATAAGCTGCTGCCACTACAGTCACCAAACATTGTGAGTTTGTTAGCAATAAATTCTGTGGAAAGACACAGGATGTGTTCGTCGGTGTTTCTGACATGGAACACTCCTGATGTCAGCCTCACCATCGTGAGGGAGCCCCGGCTGGGGTCTGAATGTTCAGTGGATTTACCAGAGCAATGTAAGTCAGGACACTATTGGTGCGTGGGCAGACAGTGGAGAAGGGTGTGACTAAAGAGCCATTTGTGGGTAGCTAGAGAGACACTTCAGCTGCCAAGGAAGCCTGCTCTTGGTAGAAGACAGGTTCAGTTCCCAGCACCCACATGAAGGCTCACAACTTAGTAACTCTAGTTCCAGGGGATCTGATGTCCTCTTCTGACCTCCATGGGCACCAGGTACTCATGTGGTATACCTATATACATGCACGTAAGAATTTTTTAAATCTCTTTTTTAAATGAGTCACTGGGAAAGGGACAGTCCTGCCCCATCCCCTTACATCACTTTCTGACCTCATAATCCCAAGATCCTAGATATGACATTTCCCTTCATTTGTTACCTTGTACTGGAATAGATGGGGATGAGGGGTTAACAAAATGACCCTGCTGAGGGAGAGTAGCCGGGCACAGCCTAGAGAAGGGTGGGTCTCGTGTTCCCCTAGGCCCTGGGTCACTACAGACAGGAGGGCCCACGGGTATGGAGTCAACCAACAACTGCTAACAGAATCATAGAAAGGCAGGTGCTTCTCTCGGCGTGTCCAGTGATGCTGATCTCCATGCTAATTTAGAAAATGAAGGGGATGCATGGTTCCCTTTGGTGGTGATGCTTCACCGTAGTCTCTTCCTTGTACCTTTGTATATCTGTATGAAGCTGTATTACTTTCATAATTTTAAAAAAGTCTGAAAGTAGGGCTGCATTTACTGTATTTACTAAAAGAAAATTTACACCTGGCCCTGTAATCAACTAGTAGCCTCTGAAAAGCATGCAGTGTACAAACACTTGCCAGTAAGTACTTAGGATAACTAGCCATCCATCTATTCCTATGTCCTTCATCCAACCATCTATCCACCCCTTCCTTCATCTTCCTATCCATCCATCCATCCACCCATCCATCCATCCATCCACCCATCCATTCATCCATCCATCCACCCCTTCATCTACCCCTTCATCCAACCATCTATTCGTGCGTTCATCCTTATAAACATTTGTGCCAGGCACTAAGTCACCTATTATAAGCTTATAGCTTCCATCTCTAGCCTAAAAACAAGGTATTTATGCAAATCTATGTTCTGGAGTAACTGGAAGGAGATGGAGAAGCATCAGGGAGCACAGTGCAGGCTGTGAGGCAAACCAAGCTCATGGTTACACGCAGAGAAAGCTGTGGCTGTTCAGCTTTCCTGCTTCCCATGCACCCTCCCCAGCGGCTGAAGCCTGGAGAGGAGGTCCCTGTCCTTGGAGGTCCTTGGAAACCTTGGGGGTGTTTTGGAGGAGAGTTCTGACCTGAGGTTCCTGTGACAGCGCTGCTGTTGCTCTGTGGTCGCTCCAAGTCAATGAGCAGCTCCTCAGAGTCATTTTCACTGGTGGGGGCCCTCTCACCCTCCTTTCCACTGAGGTCCAAGGCAGCAGCAGGCCCCCGGATGACCTCTTTTGAGACGTAGCAGCATGCCAGGCCCACCTCCTGCTCCAGGGCCGTGCGAGTTAAGTAGCTTGAGTCAATTAATCGCAGGTCACAGTACTTTAAAGACCTGCATAGAAGGAACTGCATTAGCGACACAATGTCCCACACAGAGTTCTTAGTATGCCTGCAGGTCCTGCGATCTGTGGGATGGTGAAGACCACAGTATTATCTAAGTCTGCTTTACATCTTCGCTCTCCCCCCTTTCAGCTTGCCATCCTTCTCTGTGCTCCTTCTACGCCCCCAAAGTATAAAATAGAGAGGACGGAGGTTCGAGATGTTGACCAATGGCAGAAAACTTACCTAGCATGTGTGAGGCCCTGGATTCAGGCTCCAGCATCTCTAAAAGCTAAAGGCTCAGTAGACAGGGCTGGCTCATCAGGGTGATGTGGCATAGCACATGGGACCCCTTCGCAGTGTAGCCTGACACCATGGAAACACTCAGCTGATGCTTTTACTGCTATTGCTTTTCAGTCTATAGTCCCTAGATCCTCTGGACATCAGATTAACAAAGTGCTTTATCTAAAGATGTCTATCATCTATCTATCCACCTATCATCTATCTATAATCTGTCTACAATCTATCATATATATGTCTATATATATTTGAATGTATATCCATCCATCCATCCATCCATCCATCCATCCATCCATCCATCCATCCCTGCCTTTCCTCTCAGCCTCTCTGGCTGCCTTGCTCTGGGGCAAAACCACTTTTCATGACTGTGTCCCATTCCAGAACTGTAAATCTGAAAGGGAGAATGAATGAGGTTCTTTTTCTTTGGTGCCTGCATGAAACAGTTACCTCCAAACAACTAAAATTGCTCATCAATAAAGTGGCTGAGGAACTGTGGCGCCACTGAGCCAATGATCACATCTTACCTGGGAAAAGTTTCTCCAAGCGGGTCCTTGCCAGTTAATATCACTATGCAGGGCAGACCTTCCAAGTCCTGGTAAGTCCGAGGGGTCCAGTCTTCCTGGTCATTTCCTCTCCAGGTCTGTAGAAGAGATACAGAAGAAATCATTAATGCTCCAATTTTATATCTTCAAAAATGTTTCTGGATACAGGCTATAGATACACCAAGCTTTCTGACCACCTCCCCTAAGTGTGTGGACCATGTACAGGTGGTTGTTTTTGTTCTTTGTGACAGGGTTTTGATCTTTGAGATAGGGTCTCATGTAGTCCAGGCTAGCTTTAAACCCGCTTTGTTGCCAAGGATGACTTTGAACCCTTTATCTTGCTGCCTTCATCTAAGTGCTGACCCCACAGACATGAACAGCACACCCCCTCTGCTGACCTCACAGACGTGAGCAGCACACCCCCTCTGCTGACCCCACAGGTGTGGGCAGCACAACCCCTCTGCTGACCCCACAGACATGAGCAGCACACCCCCTCTGCTGACCCCACAGGTGTGGGCAGCACACCCCCTCTGCTGACCCCACAGGTGTGGGCAGCACACCCCCGCTGCTGACCCCACAGACATGAGCAGCACAACCCCGCTGCTGACCCCACAGACATGAGCAGCACACCCCTGCTGCTGACCCCACAGACATGAGCAGCACACCCCTGCTGCTGACCCCACAGACATGAGCAGCACACCCCTGCTGCTGACCCCACAGACATGAGCAGCACACCCCCGCTGCTGACCCCACAAGTGTGGGCAGCACACCCCACTGCGTTTGCTACCTTCCAAGCCAGCATAAAGCACTGCTACGAGCATGGACCTCAGCTTCCATTTTAGTAGCATAGAAAGGCATTGGCGTACGTCATTCGTTAGCTCCACAGGCCAGAGGAACACACTGGAGCGTACTTCTGGTGACGTAAAGTGCACAGGCCAAGGCCACCTGCCTGCTGGCTCTGGCATTGAGAACTAGAGTTTTTCATATAATAGACAAACTCTGGGATTCGAGTGATGAGAAAGGATGGTTTTAGTTGTCAGGGACTTGAGAAAGAATCTCAAAACTCATCCAAAACCTCATAATCAAGCAGATAATGAAGATAGCCCCAATTCTGGTCATTAATTTTTCTCTTTCTCCATTTATTGACTTTAAAAATAACTGTCCTGGAGGTGTAGATCTATAAACCTAGTTACTCACATGGCTAGGGGAAAAGATGCCAAGTTCAAAGCCACCCTGTGGGCATCTTAATGAAACATGTATCAAAATAAAAGATAAAAGAGGACCAGGGAATGGAATAAGTGGTAGAACTTGCTAGGTTCAGTTCCCCACCAAACCTAACAAGTTGGTACAAGGCCTCCAGAGTCTTTCAAGCCTGACCAGGCTGAATCAAAAGGAAAGGCAACTGTTCGTATCTGGAGACCCCTGCAATCTTCCTCTGACTTCACAGTGCCCACAAAGCACCAGTTTCTCATGCATGACCACAAATACATATCCATGCAGTATCTTAATAGTTAGGCAGCAATCTTGAAAATACAACCATATCAGTGATGGAAGAAAAACCCAATTTGAAAGATCTATAAGTTTGTTTGGTTTTTACCTAAGGCAGGTATAGTGATATTATATTTATTTTTAATAAATAAGCTTGCCTGAATATCAGAAGGGCAAAGCTAAGGCACAAGAGGTCAGACAGTGGTAACACACTTTTAATCCCACGATTTGGGAGACAGAGGCAGATGGATCTCTGTAAATTCCAGGCCTCCCTGGGCTACACAAGATCAGTGCAGAAAGCAGTGCAGGTGGTAGTGGCCTACACCTTTAATCCCAGCACAGAATAAAATGGGAGGAGAGAGGCTCTGGCTGCTTAGTCTGCAGTCGCCCAGCTTTGGTAGAGGTAAGATTTCTAGTGACTTGGCTGCTTTGCTTTTCTGGTTTTCAAGTTGAACCCCAATATTTGTCTCTGAGTTATTATTATTCGTGCTACAGACATGATCTTCTGTGCTCCAGGCTGTCCTTAATATTTATGTGTAGTTGAAGATGAACTTGGACATCTGATTCTCCAGCCTGCACCTCCCAAGGTCTGAGATTGCAGGTTTGCATCAGCAGTGCTGGGGATCACACAGAGGACTTCTGGTCCTTTCCAGATGTGTTAGCAAACAAATAAGGAAGCTGCTGTTCAGTGTGTCGGCAGAGAGACACATGGATCTCTGAGTTCAGGGCCAGTCTGGTCTACATTAATTTCAAGTCAGTCGGGGATACTTAGAATCTGTCTCAAATAAAAAATAAAATAAAACATTGCCGGGCAGTGGTAGCACATGTCCTTAATCCCAGCACTCGGGAGGCAGAGGCAGGTGGATCTACAGGAGTTCGAAGTGTAGAGAATGAGTTCCAGGACAGGCTCCAAAGCTACACAAGAAAACCTGTCTCAAAAAATAAAAAAATTAAGCTATTATAATTATTTTTAATAATTAATATTTAATTTAAAGTTACTGTGAATTATATTTGTTTATTATAAAATAATTATTAAGTAACATGCTTTTTAAAAACATTTCCTTTTTTAGGCTCAAAATAGAGTGAAATCTCTTAGACAAGAGATAGTATAATGGTTCAATTAGTGCTTTATCGAGATCTAGAAAATTCCTAATGAGAGTTGGCACTATAGTATACACCTGTGATCCCAACAGTCAGGACGCTGAAGCAGAAGGATTGCGTTCAGAATCAGCCTGGACTACATGTTGAGACCCTGTTGGAAGGACTGAAGGGAAGGGAGGAAAGGGGGAAAATGAAGACTGCTCAAAGGACCCAAGCTATTCTTAAAGTTTTTACTTAACGTCCAATTTATTTTCTCTCTGTGTGTGCACACACATGTACACACACACATCATAACCATCCATAGCTTCAGAGACTATGTCTTTGACAATCAAGGCAGATCAGCGTGCACACACATGTACACACACACATCATAACCATCCATAGCTTCAGGGACTATGTCTTTGACAATCAAGGCAGATCAGCGTACACACACACATCATAACCATCCATAGCTTCAGGGACTATGTCTTTGACAATCAAGGCAGATCAGCGTGCACACACATGTACACACACACATCATAACCATCCATAGCTTCAGAGACTATGTCTTTGACAATCAAGGCAGATCAGCGTGCACACACACACATCATAACCATCCATAGCTTCAGGGACTATGTCTTTGACAATCAAGGCAGATCAGTGCGCACACACACATCATAACCATCCATAGCTTCAGAGACTATGTCTTTGACAATCAAGGCAGATCAGTGCGCACACACACATCATAACCATCCATAGCTTCAGGGACTATGTCTTTGACAATCAAGGCAGATCAGTGTGCACACACACATCATAACCATCCATAGCTTCAGGGACTATGTCTTTGACAATCAAGGCAGATCAGTGCGCACACACACATCATAACTATCCATAGCTTCAGGGACTATGTCTTTGACAATCAAGGCAGATCAGCGTGCACACACATGTACACACACACACATCATAACCATCCATAGCTTCAGGGACTATGTCTTTGACAATCAAGGCAGATCAGTGTGCACACACACATCATAACCATCCATAGCTTCAGGGACTATGTCTTTGACAATCAAGGCAGATCAGCGTGCACACACATGTACACACACACATCATAACCATCCATAGCTTCAGAGACTATGTCTTTGACAATCAAGGCAGATCAGTGCGCACACACACATCATAACCATCCATAGCTTCAGGGACTATGTCTTTGACAATCATGGCAGATCAGGCGGCTCCACAGCAGGTTTCCATGTGGCTTCTCAAATGACCTCAGTGTTAGTCGTCCCTCTCCATAGTCCTTTGTGCTTCTCTCCCATCCCCCTCCCTACTTCCCCTCTGTCTCTCTGTGACACTATATTCTATTTCCCCTTCCTTGGGAACTCCTCTTGTGTCTCCGATTCCTTACTTGGTCCCTACCTAACCTCTGTGGTTATTCAGATCATAGCATGCCTATTATAAGCTCACAAGATAACATTGCATACAAGAGAACATGGGGACTGGGCCATCTCCCTCAGGATGATTTTTTTCTAGTTCCATCTATTTACCTACAAATTTGGGGGAGGGGAAAACATGGTCAAATATTTTTTATGGAACTTTTTTAATTAAATAAAATAAAACCACCATTCTAGATACATTTTTTAAAAAATTCATTCTTGGTTTGGAATGATGACTCAGCAGTTAAAGAGTACTTCCTACTCTTGTAAGAGGACTGGAATTAAGTGCCCAGTATCCATATTAGGCATATCAGGCAGCTCACAACCACCTGCAACTCCAGCTCACAGGATCTGATCTCTCTTCTGACCTCTGTGGGTACCCATATTTATAGCACACACACATACACACACACACACACACACACGCACACACACACACACACACAGAGTTCCCAGCATGCACAGAACACTGGGTGACCCTGGCACATGCCAGTAGAGGCAGGTCTTCCTCCTGGGCCTGGACAAGGAGCTGTTTGACTAGGCGGCCATCATGCTCGGTTCATGCTTGTCCTGACAGTGGGAATTCCCCTGTAGCATGTCAGGTTCTAGAATCCGCCAAGGGTAGAGAGCCAGGATGCCAGTAGTGAGGCAGAGGTTTCATCACTTGAGGAGCTTCTCCAAAGAGCAGCAAGCACATCTCATCTCACTCTTGACCAGTAACCGTCAGGCAGCCCACTGTGCCATGCTTCCCCATCAAACTGCAACTCATGAATGAGTGGCTGCTTCCTGGAACTACAGACCAGAGTGATTTTTGTCCAGGAAGCACTTAAGTCAACATAAAAGACTGGACAAGAACTTAGTTTCAGCTCCTTACTGGGACAATTATATAGATGCTTCATATGCTTGTTGAGCAAACTGATTGATTTATTTAAGATTAATTTTTTTGTTTGTGTTTTGTTTTTTTTTGAGACAGGGTTTGTCTGAGTACCTTTGGCGCCTGTCCTGAAACTTGCTATGTAGACCAGGCTGGCCTTAAACTCACAGAGATCCACCTGCCTCTGCCTCCTGAGTGCTGGGATTAAAGGTGTGCGCCACCACCGCCCAATTTAAGGCTAAAATTTTAATCTGTCCTAGGTTAAATTCTAATGGTTGCTAATTAACCAAAATGCATAATAGGATAAAGAGGAGTAAATATAAAAATGAGGTCATATAACAGGAGCAATGTTGCATTTTCCCCAGGACACCCTGCCTTCTGAGAATGGTGAGGGGGGGTTAGGAGTCAGGAGCCAGCTGGTGAGAGGGGTCTTGCTTAGATGTGAGCACTTCACAGGATTTCGTGTTCTCCCTCACACCAGTGGCACAAGAAAGAGAGACCAAGGACCAGAGGGATCTGAAAATCTGGGACCCCCGTATGCATCTGTCTAGCTACTGCCTTGGATGCCCTTCACGTACGGCACATTCTCAGAACAGTGATCCTCACCAAGGATGCACACAGCCAGTGTCCCCTTTCCCTAATCATTGCCAGGGACCCTGACACTCAGGGATGAGTGATGAGCAGCTTTACCGTGTTTTAAACAGTGGCCCAGAGAGGCAGATTTTTATAACCCACTGACCTTCTAAACAAATGACCCAAGACTGTGTGAGGAGAATCAGGGCTGACCCAAGAGCACCCTGTTGGCTGCAGGTGTGTAATACCCCAGAGTGCTGTTGTGTATTTACTGTTTCTAGTTCCTTATTCAGCCTGCCTCAAGCCCCGAGTCTTAGTAGCGGTACCATGAGGACAGCACCAGTACATGGCGATTCACCCTAGGGGTTTCTGTAAGGTGGCCTTTGACTATAACTTTACTTTTCTCCACCACACATGGAGATTAATGACACACATCTATTCACAAGAAAACCCAGGTCTGAAGGCCGCCTGAGCTGCTCAGCCTTCAGCGACAGTGGAGACACAGTATCTGCGTTTCTCAACTAGCTCGAATAGAAAGGCCACCACTCAGGCTTCATTCGCTCCCTGGACCCTCCCAGAGTGAGGAAGAATGACCACAATGACAGATGACAGCCTCAAGCCAGGGGCATAAGCTCCATTCTCCTACACATTGGGAGAAACTTCTCTAGTGAAGCTGGAGGTCTGATTTCTAAAAATCCACTCTTTCCCAGAAGTTGTGAACACAGATGTGATCATTGCTACTGACTGAATTTCTGTTTGGGGATAATTTTATTTGTTCTAGTTGCTTATCAAGTATCTTGGGTTATTCGTTTTAGGTTAGATAATACAACAGGAAAGCAACATTTGCAAAGTTATTTATGAATAGCAAATAGAAGTCTAATCTCCAAGTTAGAGCTTAAAGAAATCATATGGTTCAAATCCTTCAAGACCACGCACTTTCATTTCAACAAGTGTATGCCAAACTAGGTCATGCCTAACCCAGTTTAACTTCACATTTAATATTCAGTGGGGACATCGTGTCAGTCTAACTCAGATATACAGTAGCTAGCTCAGCCACATCAATAGAAATGTGGGCATTTGATGAAATGTTTTCTAACATCAAGACAAGTAAGATTATGAAAGTCCTCAGGGAAGCCTGGGTCAGGCATAAGGGTAGTTGGTTCAGCCTGACAGCCTGACAGGCAGGCAGTCCCTGGGTATGCGAGAGCTCATGCCCCACCTTCCTCTGTAGGACTCTGGGAACTGACACAGACAAAGTCTGGCACCAAGGGTCAAAAAGAATACAAAGAAACAAGTTGGGAAATCCACATGCAAGGGAGCTGGAAGTTGCTCTAGAGGAGCGCAGAGATGGAGTGTTACTGGCTGTCCACCAGCTGACATAGGCCAGATGCACAGAAAAGAATTGGTGAGGAGAACCGCTTCCCTTTCTCTGAGGAAATAGAAGGTGGTGGGCCAGATGCATCTCTAGCCGGGTTGAGAAACACCGGGGCAAATTAGGTCATCTCGCTTTGTGCACTTGTGCTTGAAAACCATGGAGACCAACTGCACGTACATAGGTCGAGGGATCTGATGAGATCATCAGAAACTGGTTTCAATTAAGAAAAGTGTTCACCTGGTCAGGGAGGTCAAACTCACACATGTGCAAAATCTTATCCCACTCAGTTATCTGGGTGGTCCAATTATCCAAGAGTCCCAGAAAACAGAAACGAAAGGCATGCCTGTCCTTTGCTGACCTTTAATCGTGCCACGAAGTGAGCTGCAACATGGAGTTCGGAGGCCGGGCTCCCCAGGATGATCTCAAAGCGGTACTGCAGCCCCAGCTTGTCCCGCACCTCCTGCAGTCGCTCCCGGGCCAGCATGGCCAGCTGCACGGAGGGCACTCTGATGATGAGCATGGGTCCCCGGCCACTCTTGCCTTTTCCTGGGCAGCTGAGGAGGTCATCCATGATGCTGAGTGTTTCCGGTGTGCTGTGGTCTCGGAGGGACGCCATGGTGGTGAGAGCCATCAAGGCCTCTGAGTACTGCTGGATGAGAAGATAGCAGCGTACGACCATGCTGTGCAGCCTGGGGTACCTACGACAGAGCACAGGCAGCTAGCACGCAGTGCAGGCATGCACGGTAAAAGGCAGACGGGACATCGAAGCGAGGGACTACAGAGCAGAGTAACCTTGGATCCATGGATAGATTAGGGTTTGGGGCTGGCCTAGAGGCCCTACCTTCTCAAAGTGGACCAGCACCTGCACAGGGAAGTTAGAACTGTCAGACTGCCCACGTCAGACTGACAGAAGCAAGCCCTGCTGCTGAACAGCCCCCTCTCCCACCGGCAACTGGGATGCTCATTAAAAACCGAGACACAATGACCCTTGCAGGTTAATTGTGAACGAGTCTCAATCCCCAGATCTTAACCCCATGCTGCAGCCTGGACACATGGCCCACACGTTGCCAGCCCACTTCTCAGATACCAGCAAGGGAAAAGACACTCCTGTCATTATTCTCTGTGTATCAGACATTACAGAAAGGGTAACTGTAGCTGGATTGACAGAGCATGCCTGTGACCCCAGCACATGAGCCAGAGGCAGAAAGATAGAAAATTTAAGCCCAGTCTGGAAGACACAGCAAATTCTTGGCCAGCCTGGACTGCATAATGGATGCCATTACAACTACAACAACAAAACAACTAGCAAAAAATGTGATGTGCCAGCACATGAATTATTGCTAATTTGAGGTCAGCTCTATGGGTAGCAGAAATTTATCTTTCAAAAGAAATAAATTGATGCTGGAAAAATTGGAGCTAGCTGAAGAAGGAGCACCCCCTAGTGGTGGGCCTTTTATCATCAGAGACTAGGAAATCTGAGCTGGGAGCATTGCAGGCTAGACAGGGAATATCCAAAGACTTGATCACCAAAGGGCAGAGGCCCCTAGCTGCATGAGGGGTTGAGAAAGCAGGCACCAGCAAGGCAGGGCTGTGCAGGGGTTGGCAGAGGTGCCCAGAGCCTGGCAAAGGGCTGAGGAGTCTGGCCCCCTTTTCCTGGCCACCAGCTGGCAGTTCATGAGGAGCTCAGCGGCAGGTAGACTAATAGGGGATTTCACCTTTACGTTATAATCCTCTTTAAAATTGAACAGATGTTCACGAGTTTGCCTAGAAAAGCCAAGGGTCAAATGCCAGCTAGGGCATTTAAGAAACTAGCATAGCCATGCTAGTTTTGAAGCATTTTGGGAGGAATGCACTAACGGTGGCCGTAGTGACCCGCTCCAGCTTCCACAGGGGCATGAGTGTGAGAGACGGGGAGAGTTCGGCTACTTGTTCTAGACTGAGGCTGATTGGAGACAGAACTGGGTCTCCATTATGTTCAGGTCTCCATTATGTTCAGGTCTCTGTCACTGTGTTCTTGCACTGCCGGGCTTTAGGAGGTGGGGAAGCACAGAAAGCTACAGATGGCCAGTCTGGGCTAAGGCTGGAGGGAAGAAACCACAGATGAGCTACATTTAAAGCTTAGGGTTATTTTGTTGGCTTATGTTTAAAACAAAACAAAACAAAGTTACAACAAATAGTAACTTCAAAATGCAGACATTTATACTCGACACTTTGAGAAAATTAGGACCTAACAGGGAAGTTTCCCCAATCTATTTGCATTAAACTATATTAGTGGTTTTGTAATTACAAAATCTATAACTGAAGTTGCTGGAATCACCTTTTAAAATACAAGTTGTGCACTCTTGTGGTACTACTGGGCTGAGAGACACGCTCTAAACCAGGGAAGGAACTGGATAGGGAAGTAAAAAGGTGTCTCTTGGAGGCGGTGGAACTCTAGGGTCACGGGAAGGTTAATGACACAGCATTGGTTACGGTTGCTGAAGTCCAACAGCCGTGACAGTATTGGCTCCCACTCTGAGCCCTCCCTGACACAACTGTATCTCTCTGGACTGGGTGCATTCACTTGTTTTTACTTATCTCTAAAACATTTCCAGGATGATAGGGTAGACTGTTAAAGGGATGACTCCACCTAATCAGGTTCAGTATTAAGAAACTAGAGCTACCAGGAGGTCTAATTTACCTCCTCCCCAATCTGGGATGGTCACACAAAGTACGGGGCAGAGGGCAGGAAGGGAGTTTACCTTAGCTTTGAGTCTATGAATCAGGTTCTGAGAAAAACAAAGCACAAGAGTTTGACCTGGAGCTGAGGAATAAAAGGAGGGCTAGCAAGGCAGAAAGAATTCTTCTTAAGAGAGAATTGAGACTCTTAGCCTTGAAGGTTAGTACCAGATGACAGACCCCAAGGATAGAACACACTCAAATGCTTCAGTAAATAGCCAGAGTTTCCAAAGAAAAGTTTCGCTCTGAGGGAGCTGTCTAGGGATACTTGTCCACAGTGACCGGCAAACAGGGACAAAGTCAGGGATGTAATGTCAGAGACTGGCCAGAGCTCAGGGGTGTGGCCTTCCACACCCACGGTGAAGCTGGCAGGGGGACAGTTGTGAAAAGTGGTGCTGATTCCCCCACTGAGGCCAGTTTGCGTTTGTTCCCCTTGGATGGTCATATGAGCCCACAAGCGCAGGCCACTCTGAGACAGCCCTTCCGTGCCATTTGCACGAGCATCATCAGAACCACTGTAACACGACCAAGCAGACATTTTAAAGCAAGGGGCAGCTGTCTTTCCTTACCTCTCCAAGAGTGTGCTCACCATCTTCTCAAAAGTCTCGTCACATCTCAGGAGTGGGCTGGTGACCCCCCACTGCAGCGACTTGCTGTACTCATTCAAGCCAAAGTAGAGCTTCTCGCAGCCCACATCCTCCTGATTGAAAACAGAGCAGATGCCCAGTGAAGACAGGGTGTGTGTGTGTGTGCGTGCATTGTGTGTGTGTGTGAGTGTGCACGCGCGTGTGTGTGTGTGAGTGTGTGCGCATGTGTGTGAGTGTGTGCGAGTGTGTGTGCGCGTGTGTGCATGTGTGTGTGTGCATGTGTGTGTGTGTATGTGAAGAGATATTGGTGGAGGTAAAAGAAAACCCTGCTGTGATGGAGGAGGGTCATCTGTCTATTGGTTAATAAAGAAACTGCCTTGGCCCTTTAATAGGACAGAAAATTAGGTAGGCGGAGTAGACAGAACAGAATGCTGGGAGAAAGAAGCCGAGTCAGGCAGTCGCCATGATTCTCCTCTCCAAGACAGACGCAGGTTAAGATCTTTCCTGGTAAGCTACCACTTCATGGTGCTACACAGATTACTAAATATGGGTTAATCAAGATGTGAGAATTAGCCAGTAAGAGGCTAGAGCTAATGGGCCAGGCAGTGTTTAAAAGAATACAGTTTCCGTGTAGTTATTCTGGGTGGCGGGATGCAGCCCCATCGCTCCTTCAACACTGCTGTGAAACTTGACACCAACTTTGCATTTCCATGGAACTTAGTGGTATGTTGACATGTTTCCTTTGGGACCAATGGGAACTACACAGAGAAAACAAACTAGGGGTTTGTCTTCCTTCTGTTTAGATTCACAGGCCAGAGACCTTCTTTTCCTGCTAGAAGGAGCTCTCTTTTCTGATGTATCTATCGAGTTTGGGGAGAAACTGAAAACATTTAAGTTTTTTGGTGCTATTTAATTGTGGCAACTCCTTTTACAATAAAAATTAGTTTTCAAATGGAGTAAAAAATACAATGCAATGTGAACATCCTACCTCATTAGACAGAACACACAGCATCAATCCTTCCCCCTCCGACTGACTCAATCATCACCATGCAAGTGAGTAACTTTTGGGATATGACACAAGGATGCCCTCAGGGGATACTGGGATTACGACATGCTGCTGTCTTTCATGTAAGAAGGCCCAGAATATTAAGTAAGTTTTGTGACTTCATGGGTTTGATTTTATTTGTTTATACTTTTCTTTTTCTTCAGTTTTATAGTCTTTCCTCATACCCGTGCATTCTATTTTCATGGTTTTTATTTGCATTTTATTGTATTTTTATTTTCATAATTTTGGAAAGTTTTTTTAAGCATTCACTAGTTTATTTTATAAAGAAAAACAAGGCTAATACTAAAATTATAATAATATAAAAATAAATTAGAGGGACCGGATGATGGTGGCTTCCAGTACTCTGGAGGTAGGGGCAGGTGGATTTCAGTGAGTTTGAGGCCAGCCTGGTCTACAAAGTGAGTTCCAGAACAGCCAGGACTGTTACACAGAGAAACCCTGTCTCAAAAAACCAAAATACATACATACATACATACAACATACATACAACACATACACACAAACACACACACACAAATAAATAAATAAATAAATTAGAAGAAGAAGATGAGGATAGTAGAAACAAGAATAGACCAGGGGTAAAGTTAGTAACCCTGGAAATGCATAGAAATTTGTGTATAATATAAACTTTTCTCTCCTTTTTGAGACAGTATTTCATGTAGCCCAGGCTGGCTTTGAACTTGATATGTAGCTGAAGATGATCTTGAATTTCTGATCCTCCTGCCTCCTCACCTAAAGACTAGCCACCCAATGAACCTTCTATAGGACACTACTCATGGTCGTTAATGTTATAATAACTGCACTTAGCACGTAATGGTATAGTGTTCATAGTTTCAGTGCTCAGAAGAGAAGGGTAGGAGATCAGGGCCAGATAGGGCAAAATAGCAAGATCCCATTTCAAAAAAATCATGACCATATGAAAAATGAAGCATTATGTATGTTAATTAGATGTCTTGACACATTTGTACTGTATTTTTACCAATCCATGGCTATGTTTAGTGCCAGGTTTTGCCTCCTGGAGAACTGCAAATGTCTAGACATGGAAGACTCACCGTTGTGTCCAGTTGTATCCAGTGGACCTCATTGCTGGAGCTGATTCGAGACTGCTGGGTCTGCAGTGTGTATGGGAAGGAGCTCACTTGGAGCACCAGGAGGTTGAAAGCTTCTAGAACTTCTCTGCAGTTAATGACTCGATCAGCCAATCCATGAGTTGGCTCACCATGTGACAGAGAGCCCGAAATCATGCTGTAGAAATAATAAAAGTCATGTTAGAACTTTCTTACCCAACTGACTGGCTACAGGAGCATGGGACAGCACGGAGTGACACTGTACTTATTTTATCTGAGAGGAGAAGATACAATCAGAATGTGATTTGAGAGTTGGGTGTACACAGCTGTGATCGGAAAGCGTGTGAGAAGCTGAGGCAGGATGATTGATAGTTCAAGGCCACCCTGGGCTGTATAATGAGATCTTGCCTCATAAAACAATCATAAAACAAATATGATTTAAATGATAAAAAACCTTTATATCCTTCCTCACTCCTTCCAGGCAGATTTTGGGGACTCTCTCCCTCCTGGCTTTTCTTATGAATGTAAACTCGGTCACACAGCCCACAGCAGCTCATCTGTGTTGAGATGGATTGTTTTCCTGTGAAACCTTCCAGCCCTGCAATGACCTTCATCCCTAACAGCCTCCTTCCCTCCTTGGCCTCTAGCCTGAGAGGAAGGTTGGGAGGAGCTGAGAGGCCTTTCTAACTCCATAGTCAGAGAGTTGCACCTCTAGGGTTTGCTCAGTCAGTTCAGTTTGGATATGCCAGGTTATGTAAACCCAAACCCACATATTTTATTCTAGTTTTCTTTTCATTTTCTTCTGTAATTGTGTGTACATGCATATTCAATCCCTGGAAATCACATGGTAGAAGAGAGAACTGATTCCCTCAAATTATCCTCTGACTTCTAAGTGTGCGTGACTGCTACATGAATGGACACTCATACAATAAATCAGCAGTGGCAGAAACTGAAAATCAACATAAATTGGACAGAAGAGTTGAAGGGGCCAGGAATGGCTAGGAGGAAGTCACCAATGGGAAGACACCAAGTGCAAGGGTCTCTGGGCCTTCACGGCATGCTATGGAAGAAATGCTGGATCTGCTCATACGGAAGCACTCACCTTGTTAGCTCCACATGGGAGTTGTCATGAACTAGCACAAACAGTGTGTACGGATTCTGTTTCACCCTTCTCATAAAAACTTCAAACTTGCTTTGAATGTCATTGTCCAGGCGAACAACATATTTTTCTGCTCTCTGATGAGCCATCCCATTTTCCTCCAGACCCAGGTCTACAAGGACACCTGCCAAGAAAAAAAAGTTCCTCTTTTTACACACACCTTTATGTATAACACACACACACACACACACACACACACACACACACACTCCGTGTTGACCAGTACTGGGCACTAACCACATAGAGGTTTAGGTTTAGTGAGCAATGCTATTTTTCTTTTCATATTCTATACCAGTTTTGAGGAGGAAATACCAGATTTCTCTTTCTTCAGAATATCCCATTTCACGTCTCATTTTCTTATATAAAGGACAAGAAATACATTTCTTCTGTTTTTGTGTGTTTTTAAATTTTAATTAATTTTTAAAATTTTTGTGTTTTGAGACAGGTTTTCATGAGTCTACACTGGCCTCCCTGGATTAGACGGTGAAGGATTAGAGGCTTGGGCCACCACACCCGACTTATAGAACAGACTCAGGGAATGTTGATTCCTGAAGAAAAGCTGTTGAATGTTGAGATCCATTTCATTTCACTCCTTATTGTAGGAAAAGTGCTAATAATGATGTCTACCATAGGCAACCAGGAAAGATCATCAGCTTTGGTTTGCAGACCTTGAGTAAATTAATATACCATAGAACCTTATTTCCCCAAGTTTAGCATAGAAAAGGAAATACAAATCCAGACTTTACATATGCCAGGCAAGCACTCCTCCCGCACTATCATATACATTTTCTAGAGGGATGCACGTATACCGAGTGTGGGAGCCTTCAGTGAATGTTAGCGTATTTTCAAATTACTAAAACAAATGGGATTAACCATGATTACTGCGTTCTCGAGACATTAGACTGTGATGCTTGGATAGCTCCAGAGACCCTGCTGTAACAGCATTCGACACACAAACATCTGAAGTGGGTCTGGGTACATGAAGCTGTCGCTGGGACATGTATAATACACCTGCCTCCTTAGAAACAGAGAGACTTGCATAAATTATACTGATTTCATTTTCTTTTTAAAAAATGATACTAAGCTGAGCGGTGGTGGTGTACGCCTTTAATCCCAGCACTCAGGAGGCAGAGGCAGGCGGCTCTCTGTGAGTTCCAGGCCAGCCTGGTCTACAAGGGCTAGTTCCGGGACAGGCTCCAAAGCTACAGAGAAACCCTGTCTCGAAAAAACAAAAAACAAAAAAACATGCCAACCCAGTTCACACCTACAAACAGTTAGATCTATAAACTGTAACAATAGCCTGGAGCGAAATAAGAAGGAAAAGTGAAAAAACACTTTATTATATGAAAAGTTTATCATACCAGAAAAGAAAAACATAAAACTAGTTTTAATTAAAGAAATATTTTCGAAGGGGGCTGGAGAGATGGCTCAGTGGTTAAGAGCATTGCCTGCTCTTCCAAAGGTCCTGAGTTCAATTCCCAGCAACCACATGGTGGCTCACAACCATCTATAATGAGGTCTGGTGCCCTCTTCTGGCCTGCACATATACACACAGACAGAATATTGTATACCTAATAAATAAATATTTAAAAAAAAAAGAAAGAAATATTTTCGAGATAGGGTCTCTTTATGTAACCTTGGCTGGCCTGAAACTCACAGAGGTTTGCCTGCCTCTGCTTCCTGAGTGCTAGGATTAAGTGTGTGTGCCCTAAAATAGGTTTTTATTTGATTTTTATGCATGCATGCATGTACCTATTTATATGCATACACATACCTATATGTATGCATATATGCACCTATATTATGCATATGTGCACCTATATGTATGCATGCGTGTACCTATATGTATGCATGCGTGCACCTATATGTATGCATGTGTACCTATATGCATGCATGCGTGTACCTATATGTATGCATACGTGTATCTATATGTATGCATGCGTGCACCTATATGTATGCATGCGTGTACCCATATGTATGCATGCGTGCACCTATATGTATGCATGTGTACCTATATGTATGCATGTACCTATATGTATGCATACGTGTATCTATATGTATGCATGTGTGCACCTATATGTATGCATACATGTACCTATATGCATGTGTGTGCAGTGCCCAAGGAAGAGGGCATTGGTTCTTCTGGAACAGAGTTATAGACAGTTTGGAGTCACTAAGTGGGTGCTTGGAATTGAACCCAGGTCCTCAGCAAGAGCAGCCAGTGCTCTTAACCACTGTGCCATCTCTCCAGACCCCCTAGTTTTTTACTAGGAACCTATACTTGGGAGATCGTTTTCAGTTTCCACCTGAAGTGTCTCATTTCATTGTGAACGTTTACAACAGGAGGCCACTGTGATGTCTTTTGAAAGCAGAAGACCTGTGATGGTCACTCATCATTCAGGAACTATTTATTGGTCATCGAGTCTGTGAAGTGATCATCAGGGGCTGTGCCAAACCTGAGGATACAGAGAGGAGTGAGACAGGTGGTGCCATGATGGGAGCAGCTAGCTGGGCGGGTGGGGGGGCGCGGGGAAGAAACCAGCAGAACAGAGGGGATCTGCAGGAGCTTTTTATTCTTGTCTGGAAAGTGGGGAAGAATTGGGCCAGCTGAAAATGAGTCATTAGCAAAGAAGTAGTGGCAGCTACAACATTCAGTAAGAAAAGATCAGATGTTCGACACTGGAAATAAAAGGGAGAATGCAAGTTAAATCCTTAAAAAAAAAAAAACCAAAAAGCCTTAAAACTGTAAGAAAGAAGTAGGTGGGAAAAACATGTTTCTCATTTCTACAAAACTCACCAACAACACAGGAAGAAGCCAGGAAACCCCTGAATTAAAGCAAACTAAAATGACAGTTATGCAACTCCAGGTACATGGTCAGAAAGCCGGTGGGAAGAACGGAGAGTGGCAGAGACACTCACTTCTGTGAACACGTCACCATGCACAGCAGCCAACCCCCAGTGGGGTCGACATGGCAACAGAGGAGTCCTCGCCTGTCATGAGGAACGTGCAGTGCAACAGTGGAGATGGGAGAGAAGGACTTGAGGGGAAACACAAACCCAGGCTTGAAGACAATGTGGAAGGAATGTGCACCAACACTTCAGTCTACAGGGACGTGGGGCTGCGATTACATAAGCAAGACAAAGTCCCAGTGAATGGTGCTAGATGAGACATTGTTTCTTCTTGTGAGAAAAAGAAGTCACAAGTAGGAACAGGGGAAATGCCAAGCTGAATCTGTGTTTGTTTTAGAATTGGAGGTCTCAATATGAACTCATTACTTAAATGTATACATAGAAGTAAAGAGGTGTGCATGTCTGGGCTAAGACACGCACTTATACTTTCTGGTTCTGTCTGCCAACTGTGCCTAAAATGACATAGCAATGTCATTACCATAGCAATAAGCGTGCCAATGCCCAGATCTGGGCTTTTAGCTACCCTTTTCAATAAAAGAATCAAAACTTTTGGGGAAAAAGTTAGTCTCCGGAAAAAGGCAGGGAAATATAGAACAATCTTGGCGGCCAGTGAATCGGCAAGCCTGACCCTCCCGAGTTGATCCTGGACCGCACAAAAGCTGGTTGTGGTGGCTTGCGTTTGTAACCGCAGCACTCTCCTCAGGGAACTCGCGAGCTAACCTGGAGTACGCATGTCAGAAACATCGAGAAACACACTACCGTGGGGCTGGGAAGATAGTTCAGTGGTTAAGAGCACTTGTTGCTCTAGCAGAGAAGCTAAGTTTGGTTCCCAGGACCCACATTTGGCTCACAAGTATCCATAACTCCAGTCCCAGGGGATGCAACGCCTTCTTCTGACCTCAGTGGGGTAGACACACCGGTGGTGCAAACACATGCAAACAGAACACTCCTGCACATAAAATAAAATGAAATCTAAAATAAAAAAAGTTAAAAAGAGAAAGAGAGGTAGAGAGGGCCGGGGGTGGGGGTGGCAAACCAGAGTCTTGACAGGTTCTCCTAGTAGCCCTGATAGAGACCAGAGCCAGGACAGGTTTCTAATAGCCCTTGCCGAGGACCAGGCCTTAGTTTGGGCTTACTGGAGGTGGCTAGTACTGAGCAAACGCTTCTCCAAGAAACCACAACTCAGGGGCAACCAGTCACCAGGCACCCCCTGGCCTTCTTTGTCTCTGCAGAAGACCACAGTCTCCTGATAATTAAAGATAGCTTTCCTACCCTGCTTCGGGAAGGTCCCTAACAGTAGGACCGTCCACCAATCAGTCCCCAGACTAATCTTTCCTCCACCAATCAGCCCCCAGACTAATCTTTCCTCCACCAATCAGCACCCAGACTAATCTTTCCCCCACCGATTAGTCCCAGATTAATCCCTCCTCCCTGGATTTCCCCTAACTCTCCTCAAAAGGAGTTTGTGACCTTCTTGGGAGGTGGCCTTGCACCACCCCAGAGCGGGAATAAAGCGCTCTTGTTTATTAGATATGTGACTGTAGGTCTTTTCTTGGGGCCTTCTCTTGGACCCTAACAAAACTCCCAAAAGTTGTCATCTGACCCCCTGACACACACACGTGTGCGCGCGCACACACGTACACACATGCACACACACTGCCTGCAAGAGATTCTAATAGCCAATGCTGGAAATTCTGAACAACAACATAAAACAACACTGATAGAAACAATCCAGAGGTTAAAATTAATATCCATGGGTCATTCTGGTAAGAAGGAAGGGAGGGAGGAAAGAAGAAAGGAGTTAAGGAAGGGGGAATGGTTTTCCTTCACAGAATTCAGTTAATAAACTCCAAATAAATGTTTGGAAATGAAAGAATCGCTGTTTTGACTTCTTTTTTCCACATGGAGAGTTTTTATTGGAGGGAAGGGAGCAAAGGGAGCGAAGGGGAGCACAGAGCAGCCAGCCTCATGGGAAGGGGGGAGTGTACAGAGAGAGCTAGGAAGCTAGAGAAAGAGAGAGTGATGATTGTAACTGCTGGCCTTTCTGCTACTAAAGTAGCTTTTACAGAAATATCTGTTTATCGTTTTCATTTTACAAAAATCCAATGGTACTGAACATCTTTCCATGTGTTCATCACACACACACACACACACACACACACACACAAACTATTGGAATACTTCACCTATAATCTGTCTTGTCTCTTTATAATT